TTGAGCTGAAAGCCTTTCCCCTCATCAAAGATGTCTACAGGTGGGAAGGTGAGAGGTGCCTCGTTTAGGAGACCTTGAAGACGAGTGCGCCAGCCTTCCAACAGGCCTTCGCGAGCCTCAGGAGAGAGATGTGTGGGTGCCCAGAAGATCTGTGGAGCAAGGACCTGGAAGCCACAATAGTTGAGGACACCATTCTACAAAGAGAGGAAACAGTGGAGAAGTTGCAGGTTTGTATGAAATGCAAACTCCATTAACACTGCATATGTGCGTGCGCATACACACATATATACACACACACACACACACACACACACACACATATATGCATATATAGTGCGCGAAAATGGAGCACTTCAAGAACATTATGGAAGTGTACTTTTAACCTGGGGTGGCCAGTTGAGTACTTCGGTTTGGAATAACCCTTTAATATGGTGGCTATGATCGTTCTCATTTCGAAGTACCTTTCAGAAGCGGTATCATCCCATTTGGAACACAGCAGAACTTAGACGGACAAAAGTTAGAATAAAGGAATGTAGGGGATGATGTTCTTACTTGAATTGGCCACAGAGTAACATTCATGTCTCCATTGATCCCATTGGACCTGAACATGGTCTCATGGGAACCAGTAGTGAAGGATAACATGACTTTCTTGTCCTGACATGAATTAAACGCTCAAATTATACCAATATTAACAGCCCACTCAAATTTCATTAGAGAGCAGCCAACATTCGGGGTTTATGATGTGCAGGCCTCACCCTGAAGATGCCCTCACTGTAGCGCTTTTCCAAGGTGTACGCAAAACCAAGCGTAAGAACCCGGTCCATCCAGCCTTTCATGATGGCAGGAACAGAGAACCAGTACATGGGAAACTTAAAGAAATTGACAAAAGTGGTCAAAGACTTACAAAGACCCAAAAGGAGAAGAAATATCAAAAAGAAAAAAAAAAAAAAGTCATACCTGAAAAATGACAAGATCTGCTTCGTTTAGTTTCTTGTGCTCATCTACGATATCTGAAGCCAGTTGCCCCTCCTGCCAGGCCAACATGGTCTCATTTCCATAACAGAAATGCTCTGGGTTCTTCACGGCTCCTAAAAAAAATACAAAAAAATAAAAAAGACCCCAGAAAATCGTGCAATTACTGCCACTGAGCTCCGATAAGGCACTAGTTCTTGGTTTAATATTTTCTAAACGAACAAAACACTGCCTCCCACACCAGTAATATCCTCCTTTGTAGCCGTGGCCTTGAACTTCATTTCATACAGATCAGACACAAGCACGTTACAGCCCTGTTTCTTCAGCGCGTCCACAGCAGCATCTTTAACAGCCGCATTGAATGATCCTGCGCTCTGGTGCGCGTAGACGATCAACACGGTCTGTGCGGCTGAAAAAGAACATTAACCGAAGAGACTAAACAAACAAAATAAAGCGAAACAAAACGTTGCGAACAAAAGACACTTGAAATAACAACAAACAAACAAACAAAAACGTACCCATTATGTTTCTCACCCACAGGTCTCAAAGCAGCCACTAAACACCAACACAACTGTGAACTTTTAAAGTGTCAATCACCTGTGCACAGCTGAATCATTTTACTGATCAATTAGTGCTGGCAGGCCACCCACAAACATTTACGACAAATATAAATAAATAAATACAATTTCTTCATGTTTTTTTTAATCGATTAATGTCTTTTATTTTTTTAAACAATTTTTTACAATAAACTTGCATTGCAGATTTACGTTTTTACCACTAGATGTCTACATGCACCAGCAACTGAAGCTACAGATGCATCTACATCTATAGAACATACATGTATGATAAAAAATTAAAACACGAAATTGATTTGGTCAGTTTATATAAATACCGGTAGTTGTTTTATTAACTAACTAACTTTCTTTATTTCTTTCTTTACGGGTGGGTAATGTAGCCTATTTGACAACAATTTTCTGCTGAGAAAATAACAGCTGTTTTGTCTCCTCGTCTTGGTGCAGTTTGTTGACTTTTTAAACGGGCAAGGATGGGAGATTTGCTTGAGACCAGTTAAGACCAGCAGTCTGGTTTATTATATTCCCCCCCCCCCCCCCCAGGGACCTTT